ACATTAACATCAACGTATCTCAGTGACGACGTTAACATCAACGTATCTCAGTGACGACGTTAACATCAACGTATCTCAGTGACAACATTAACATCAACGTATCTCAGTGACAACATTAACATAAACATATCTCAGTGACAACATTAACATCAACATATCTCAGTGACAACATTAACATCAACATATCTCAGTGACAACATTAACATCAACATATCTCAGTGACAACATTAACATCAACATATCTCAGTTACAACATTAACATAAACATATCTCAGTGACGACATTAACATCAACGTATCTCAGTGACGACGTTAACATCAACGTATCTCAGTGACAACATTAACATCAACGTATCTCAGTGACGACATTGACTTCAACGTATTTCAGTGACAACATAACATGAACTTATCTCAGTGACAACATTAACATCAACATATCTCAGTGACGACATTAACATCAACGTATCTCAGTGACGACATTGACTTCAACGTATCTCAGTGACAACATTAACATCAACGTATCTCAGTGACGCCATTAACATCAACGTATCTCAGTGACGACGTTAACATCAACGTATCTCAGTGACGACGTTAACTTCAACGTATCTCAGTGACAAAATTAACATCAACGTATCTCAGTGACAACATTAACATCAACATATCTCAGTGACAACATTAACATCAACATATCTCAGGGACGACATTAACATCAACGTATCTCAGTGACGACGTTAACATCAACGTATCTCAGTGACAACATTAACAACAACGTATCTCAGTGACGACATTAACATCAACGTATCTCAGTGACGACATTAACATCAACGTATCTCAGTGACGACGTTAACATCAACGTATCTCAGTGACAACATTAACATCAACGTATCTCAGTGACGACATTAACATCAACGTATCTCAGCGACAACATTAACATCAACGTATCTCAGTGACAACATTAACATCAACGTATCTCAGCGACGACGTTAACATTAACGTATCTCAGTGACGACGTTAACATCAACGTATCTCAATGACAACATTAACATCCACGTATCTCAGTGACGACATTAACATCAACGTATCTCAGTGACAACATTAATATCAACGTATCTCAGTGACGCCCTTAACATCAACGTATCTCAGTGACAACATTAACATCAACGTATCTCAGTGACGACATTAACATCAACGTATCTCAGTGACAACATTAACATCAACGTATCTCAGTGACAACATAACTTCCACATATCTCAGTGACAACATTAACATCAACGTATCTCAGTGACAACATAACTTCCACATACCCCATGACGCCATAACTTCCACATATCTCAGTGACAACATAACTTCCACATATCTCAGTGACGACATTAATATCAACGTATCTCAGTGACAACATTAACATCAACGTATCTCAGTGACGACATTAACATCAACGTGTCTCAGTGACGCCATTAACATCAACATATCTCAGTGGCAACATAACTTTCCACATATCTCAGTGACAACATAACTTCCACATATCTCAGTGACAAGATAACTTCCACAAATCTCAGTGACGCCATTAAAATCAACGTATCGCAGTGACAACATTAACATCAACTTATCTCAGTGACAACATAACTTCCACAAATCTCAGTTACGCCATTACCATCAACGTATCTCAGTAATTATACACAAAAAAGACAGACTCACTGAACATTTTAAACAACTCGCTAAGGAGTCTAAGCACACAATGTGGGAACATTTTTGCGAGGAAATAGGTTATGAAAAATCACTTAAAAAATTCTGGCGGCTTCACCAAAAGATGAACGGAGGCAAACAAAACTCTGTTATGCCCGAGCTAAAGATGGACAACGGGGTGGTGTTACAATCAGATAAAGACAAGGGCGAGGCTATCCTGCACAGATTTCTTCTGCAGACGGAAAAGAAAGATAGGGAAGAGAGGGAACAGATAAGACAGAGTTTATATGATATCCAGATGGCTGAAATGGAGGAAGTCGATGATACAGTATACATCTCAACGGACTGCATCAGAGCAACACTGAAGACCTGTCCGGACACAGCTCCAGGGCCTGATGGCATTAGATACAGCCACTTCAAAAGCCTCGAGGCGACAGATATTGATGAACTGTCCACGATTTTTAACAAACACCATGAAAACTGGCACTATTCCTGATGACTGGCTCCACAGCTACCTCAGACCGGTTCCTAAGCCAGGAAAAGACCACACGAGAATAAATGGCTACAGAATCATCACACTCCAGAACACTGTAGGAAAACTCATGGAAAAAATCGTTGCCAGAACGTTAACCCAAATATTGGAGTCGGGTGGCCATTTCCCCGCTACACTAGGTGGCTACCGACCAGGAAGAGATACATGGTGCAATGCTGCAGTATTTGCCTACGACACATACGAAGGTTTCCAGGAGGGAATAGAAACGGCTGCAGCCGCTATTGACTTAGAAGATGCGTACAACAGCGTCCCATACAACATGCTCATCAGACTGCTGTTGGATATGCAGATAGAAACAAATCTGGTCAACTGGATCGCAGCAGCGCTATTTGAAAGAACAGTGTCGCTTCGATGTGGTGAATGGGCATCCGAACCTCAACGCGTCCTAATGGGTCTGCCCCAGGGATCACCATTGTCGCCTGTGCTCTTCAATGTGTACACAGCAGGAGTCACTAGTGCACAACGCGTAGGCCTAGGCAGAACAATGTCGTATGCAGATGATATCCTTGTGTACCGTCGAGGTAAAAACAGGCAGGAAATTACAACCACACTACAACACGAACTAGACAGACTTAGTGAGTGGTGCTAGGAATCAAGAGCTCATGTGAACCCGTCCAAAGCCTCCTTAACATGGTTCTCTCTGAATACCCACATCGTGAGTACACCAACGCCAGTCGTAAGCATCTGTGGTGTGGACATCGAGAGAACGGACACCATGAAATACCTGGGCATGACATTTGACAGATGCTTGTCATACAAATGCCACGTAGACAACGTCATACTTAGAGCCAGGAAAGGTTTGACAGCACTCAAGGTGCTAGCAGCAGCTGATATTGAACAACGTCTACTTTTCCTTCTCTATCAAGGGCTTGTGCTTAGCGTCATTGACTATGGTCTCGGCCTCCTCACTGTCAGCAAAACCCAGCTAGAAAGACTGGACCGAGTACAGAATGAGGCCATGAGACTCATACTCGGCTGCACAAAAGACACCTCCTGCAACGCCATGCGTTATATCCTGGGTCTGCCGACTATGACAAGCAGATACAAAGTGGCACAGGTCAAGGCTTACATGAGGGTATCGGCAGATGTTAACCACCCATTACACAAAGCTATTCACGACACAAAAGGAACGCGTCTCAAAAGGGGCCGCTCTTGGATGGCAAAGCCTGAGGACTTAATCCAGCAGGTATGTGACCTAGACGTGATCAGCCACGGAAAAGAATGGGCGAATACACCAGTAGACATGCATGGCATTTCTAAGGTTGTCATCACACTCGGAAGGTACTGCAGGGATCAAATTCCCGCGGCGGTAGACACAGAAGTAAGGGAACTGATAGATCAGCATTCAGACCCAGAAGATACCATCATCTACACAGATGGATCTGTGAAGCGCGGATCAAGGTCAGCATGGGCATACACAGCGCAAAGAAAGGGGAAAACAATACATGAGGACAGCGGCGCTTACCAGACAACCACGTCAAGAATGACAATGGAAATAGCCGCTGCTTCTAGAGCTTTAGCATGGGTATCCGAGCAAACCGCCACACAGGTAGTAATTGTCTCAGACTCAATGAATATGCTTCAGAAGATAGCAACAGGCAGCATGCGCTCTGAATGGATAGAAAGCATCAGGAAATCGCACTTAACCTCCGTAACCTGGATCTACACACCGGGCCATGCGGGCGTGAAGGGAAATGAACGAGCAGACCAACTGGCAAGCACTGCACTAATGATTGCAGGAAAAAGTATGGACAGAGCAGACATAGTCAACGCTGTACGAACCGGGCTAGTGGAGAATGAGGAATCCCTGACACTAACACGATTGCGCGACATGGGAGTTAAGCATGGTGATGCACGTCTTTGCCGTCTTCGAGGCCGAGAAAGGAGACAATATAACCAGCTTCTCATGGGGACAATTAGTAGAAGTGCTTTGGAGTGGCTGCTGCTTCGGAGAACTGAGCACGCATGGGTATGCCCAATGTGCAGTGACATTAATTGTGATAACAGAACATAAAATAACATCTTAGTAGGGAGTCGGCAGTACGAAACCCAAGTTCAAGGTGTCTCCTTCGTGCCAAAGAACTGCATGGCTGTTGGGTGAACAGTCGTTAACGAGGGCAGGCAGGTCGTTGTAGGGTGACGCCTGCTGGTGGATGTAATGTCCTAAGTCCCTTCCCCAGCTAATAATGAGGGTACTGCTGGGGTGACCGTTTATTAACCCTCATATAATTCTTCCGGTCAAAATGGACGCTAGGTACGGCCACCTTTTTTTTTTTTTTTTTTTTTTTTTTTTTTTTTTTTTTTTAATGCCGTGGCAAATATTTTTCCAGACGGTGGCCGTTGCATTTTTGCTCCATTTGTAGACTGGAAGGATGTAGTTTCGTCGCCCAGCTTCTGAGTTGAGTGCATGGCGTGACACTGTGAGCTGCGTTTGTTTTTCGTTGGCACAGGAGCGGAGCATGTGTGGGGTGACCCGTTTGCTATGAAGCTGAAACTAGGATTACCAGATTACCAGTATCTCAGTAATAACATAACTTCCACAGATCTCAGTAACAACATAACTTCCACATATCTCAGTGACGACATTACCATCAACATATCTCAGTGACGACATTAACATCATATCAACAACAAGTATATCACAGGCAACTGTTCATCATTTGATTTCAGGGGCACCTTGATTTGGATGATAGGAAGAAGGGGGGGGGGAGAAGGGGCACCTTATCAAGCATGTTATCAAGGCAGCTAAATGCTAATCAACTCACCTGCATGTGGCATTTCCTCTCAACTTGCAGTTTTTGTCACAACATGGGTCCATATCGTCCATACCATGGGAACTAGCATCACAGTATTCCTCGTCTTCTACAGCACCATTGCCACAGAATGGAACATATGACCGGGCTGAATACAGAACAGCATTGCTAATTAAGGACATCACTGATAATAAAGGACAGCATTGCCAATGAAGGACAGCATAGCTAATGAAGGACAGAATCGCTAATGCAGGACTAATACAGTGCCAATACAATACAAAGTAAAACGTGAAGATCCCTTTCTACGCCCAAGGCGCATCGGGTATATGGGAAGAGAGCCCATATTTTTACAGACCATCAGCACTAAGTGGGCAATGTGGTCAGCATTACGCCGGGCGTCTTTACTTCCCCAGGACATCCATCCTGGTACCCATTTTAGGCTGATTCGACCTGCGACGCCCCATACCATAATCAAAATCCATGCAGCCAGCAGTGGGTTTCAATCGCAGTACAGTGGAATTACGAGTCGGACTCGCAACGCCTAAGCCACGGACGCCGCTGCCAATACAATATTGTAATTAGATTTGTACATATGGATCAAAGGAAACATTTGCAAACAAATCACTAAGTATATACCTAAAAAAAAAACTTCAAGAATGGGGCAAAGAATATTGGAGAGATTAGGGGATAAGCTGCAAATGACTGTAGAGATGAGGAATTTATTGATAAGCAGTGTTTTTTTTTTTTTTAAGAAGAGGGAGGAGAATGAGAAAACAAAGGATAAGGATGAGGGGAAGAAGAAGACTAAGAAGGAAGAGTCGATGAAGGAGGAGATGAAGAAGAAGAAAACAATTTCTCTATGCTACGCTGCTCATGAGCTAAATAAGTAAATGTATACAACTCTACTCTTTAACTAATTTAATCATTTTTGTATCTTTTCTTTCCTTCCTCTTCTGTCAATGGAGATATAAGATTCTTGTTCTTGCTCTTGTGGCTACCTTGACCATAGTTATACCGTTAAAGAGTTTCTCTGATGTCATCTTTTTTTGGGGGGTCCTCTTCCTCTTTTGGTGTATGCCTTGTATTTAATGGCGTCGCAAGGTCTTCTCTCTAAATGGACAAGCCATTGTACAGGGTGGGCTATACCGATCGGACACATTTATATTACTGCGAGCAATAATTGTCCTGCATGTTTTAGAATGTTTTAGTGATAGCTTAATGTGAAGTGTGAGGATGGGCACTACCGTTACATGTTTCTTTCATTATCCACTAGCATCAGTGAGCTGAAGGACAACATCCAAATGGAGATAGCAGCCATCCTAGCCGAAACCCAGCACAAAACTATGCTGTACATGACTGATAGAGCCAAAGAATGTTCTCGTGAAAGTGGCGTCCATCTCTGGGATGTAATTTTCAATCACTGAACACAGTACAAAACTCCCCGCCCTTTGGCAATGCTTTCCATATATTTGGTAATAAATGATGCTTTATAAATGCTCCACATATACATTTGAAATGCATCCCATCATTATTGCCAACCATGTATCTCAGCCTTTGTATGTAATACAGAATTAGTTCTGTGCTGGCTGTTTCTCTTAGGATTCCATTTCTGATTAATTTACCTTTTTCTAGTCACTCCTGACGAACTAATCAATAAGCTTGTTGAAGTGTGCTCATGAACTAATCACTAATTTGATTGTAACCATGCTTACGAACTAGACAGCTATACTCCAATATATGCAGACCAATAGCTCTCAAAGAACACGGTGAGAATTTCTGAAAGAAACAAGAAAAGAAAAAAAAATATTTCAGTAATTACATCAAGTAGATAGTCTGTCAAGAGTCTAAATACTCTTGTTATACTTCTTTGAGAAAAATGACGGACAACTGGCATTTTAACATCGACAATGTCAATATGTGTGGAGCAATATCTGTAGATTTTAAGAAAACCTTTGACATAGCAGATCATTCATATTTTAGTTGCTAAATTACTAACTTTAAAAACTAACAATAATTTAATGAAATTAATGGCCATTTTATTTTGTCTGCTATACACCACATGTAAAAGTCCTGAAACAAGTACAGGAATTTATATACTTTGGAAGCATCTTTATACACAATGGTAGAATAGACAGAGAGATAGAAACGAGAATCCAACAATGTCCCATACTAACCTGCTCCAACTTTAAAACACACTGCTATACAAATTAACAATATAATATTTATACCGACTTAAGCTTACCATTGTCAGACTTGGACATTGACAAAAGAGCACGAAAGAAAAACTAACCACCTGTGAGATGAGATGTTTGAGAATGGCTGTGATCAAAACCAGAAGAGATCAAGTGAGAAACTACGTGATCACAAGAACTGTAGTAACAACCTCAGTAGTCAAACTTTTTTAGAAACAAAGAATGAAATGGTTTGGCTATCAAATGAGAATGAAACCAACGATGCCAGCAGCAAGAGCGTTTAACCTGAAAATCGAAACATTAAAAGGCAGGGGAAGACCGAGAAGAAAATATGAACTGAAGGAGTCACTGACACACTGAGACTGCATAATATCACGGCATATCATGCGGCTGAGCGCATCCTGGCTCGGCTGCCGATCGTCTGATGAACTGCGACGCCAGGCGGCATAAACAGATATTGGCAAACGAAGAAGAAGAAGAAGAAGAAGAAGAAGAAGAAGAAGAAGAAGAAGAAGAAGAAGAAGAAGAAGAAGAAGAAGAAGAAGAAGAAGAAGAAGAAGAAAAAGAAGAAGAAAATACAGCAAATAGTTTCCTTTGAGAATCGTCTTTTAAAATCCACCCAGCTAAACATCAGTGTGTATCAAGGCGTACTAAGCCCATGGCCGCGTATATAAACGACCTTCCATTACAAAACGTCACTTTATAACATGTGTGTGATCTTTTTGCTGATGGCTGTACCATACATATTTTAGGTATCACAATTGTCATAAGTTCTTAACACAGCAGAATAAGCAATCTTAATAGACAGAGCAATAAAATTTGAATTTATGTTAACATAATATAACTAAATTTTTGCTTATAACTAGACAATAGTTACAAACATTAGCCTTGCAGAAGCCCCCACCTGCGCTCTACATTGTCAAGGTGAGATGCCCCTATGAACTCGCATGTCAGGAGCAGGTCCTTCGTGGTTCCCCATAGCCTACTCTGCACACTTTGTTCTTGGGGCCAGGTGTCTTTTAGAAGTTGCAGGTAGATTGGGCAGGTCTATAGAAAGTGCTCAGGTGTTTGTGGTCCTGGTTGATAGGCACACTGTGGGGACTGTACAATCTTTATTTTATCGATATGGTATTGTAGTTTGTGCACGCGTCCGCCTCGAGTGCTAGAGGTCCCTGGTTCAAGCAGCGGTGAAAGCTGGGATACATGGACTTCTAGTAACTTCTCCTGGTCTCTGTGTAGTAAGATCGGATGCCAGTGTACATCCTTGCGTGCATAAAAAAATCCCACTGTCATGAGTCAACTTTGCCACACACTGTGAGATAAAGATAAACAACGACTAGACTGACTCATAACAGCAGACAGATCAATTACTGGTCAGACGGGTTGTGTGTAGACCCGCACGGCAGTATCACAAACGGTGCTGCCGGAACAGTTTCGCGAAAAAGTACTAGAAATGGCACATGATGCGCCGTTTTCTGGTCATATGGGAACGGCTAAAAAAAAAATCAAGAATCCTGGGGCAGTTCTACTGGCCAGGGTACAGCAAGTACACAAAAACGTTTGTTCGTACCTGTGAGATTTGTCAAAAACAGTCACAGAACGGGAAAAACCCAAAGGCTCATATCCATTTGACTGACTTAGCATCTAGACCATTTCAAAAAATTGCAGTGGATATAATCGGACCATTAAATGTTACATCAAACAAGGGAAAGATATTTCCTTACAGTAATAGACCTGTGTACCAGATGGCCTGAAGCGATTCCGCTTCGAAATATTACAGCTAAGGCTATTGTAGAAGCCTTCATACATATTTTCTCAAGAATCGGCTTTCCTGGAACAATTCTATCCGACAGAGGAACACAATTTATCTCTGCTGCCACACAACCAATCACTAAAATGATGGGTATTAAACAGCAATTTGCGAGAATTTTCTTTAACAAACCAACAAACAAAAACTTTTCAATATTTCCACAAAGATTAACATGTCAAATTTGTTACTAATGGACACTTTTTTTAAAAATAAATATATATATTTTCACAAAGCGATCAAAAGCAAACATGTGTCAGATCTTTCCTTGACTTGCAAAAATTTTCAGTTTTGTTAACTTTTTTGGTCACCCTTTTGTTCGATGACAACTAGCTTTTCAACTTGTAAACTTGTAGCATGCTAGTTAACATTTTACAAACAATCAATAATTTTTCAAAGATCAGTCTGCCCAACTAATCTTATGCCCCCCCCCCCCCCTTAAATTTTTAAAACTTAAATATACATGACGCATCAGACCATTGTAGGCTGCAGGGCTCCTGCTAATGGCACCAGGAGACCTAAAACCTCGTTATATAAATGGGTGTTTTGCCGAACTCAAATGCAGGGCCATGGCATGCTATTATACGGAGGTATCAGGCGGCATTAGAAACAAAATTAAACCAGAAATCAGCGATGAACAATGTGGATTTGTAGAAGGAAAAGGTACAAACAATGCCATATTCATCCTAAGGACATTGTCAGAAAGAGCTATAGAAGTAAAGACTGATTTGTACTTATGCTTCATAGACTATACAAAAAGCATTTGACTGTGTGAAGCATGAAGAAGTAATCAAACTGTTAAAAAAAATAAACATTGATGGAAATGATCAACGAATAATAACAAATATGTATTGGCAGCAAACAGCAGCTATAAGAATTAACAATTGTTTAGGTACATGTCAAAACATATAGAGGGGCATACGACAAGGATGTGTACTATCACCTGATTTGTTTTCAATATACAGTGAATATATAATTGAATTGATATGCAAAGAATTGTAGTTGGTACGCACAATATAAACAATTTACATTATGCTGATGACAAAGTCTTGCTATAGCGACAAGTCAGAAAGAACTACAGGAAATGATAGACATAGTGGTAATAGAAAATGGAAGAATGGGCCTCAGTTTAAATAATGGGCAGACAGAAGTAATAGTGGTATCAAAGAAACGAATTATTCAAAATGTGTAATAAAAGTCGATGGTGTTATTTTAGGACAAGTATAGAAATTTAAGTATCTGGGCACATGGATAACATCAGATGGAAGATGCATAACTGAGATTAGAAACAGAATAGGACATGTATTTTATAAAATAAAGAATATCTTGTGCAATATATCGTAAGGATATTGATAGTTAAAAGAATTATTGCTTGCTACATACATCCAGTTTTAACATATGGCTGTGAATCCTGGACAATCGGTAGGCAGGCCAAACAATTTCTAGAGGCCTCAGAGATGTGGTTTTACAGAAGAATGCTTAGAATACCTTGGAAAGCCAAAAAGAACAACCGAGGCTTTGAAAGAGGCGGGAGCCCGAAAACAACTCATCACAGACATCAGAAGGAGACAGTCATCATTTTTCGGCCATGTTACGAGAAGAGGGAAAATACAACATGTTGTGACCACTGGAAAGATCTGTGGAAGGAGAGATAGAGGAAGACAACGAGAGAACATTCTTGACAGTCTTGTTGCATGGCATGGAGGTGTGTCGGCACACGAACTGATACATGCTGCAGGAGATCGTGGATTATGGAGAGGCATGATCGCCCACGCATCGGCAAGGCACCCGATGATGATGCTGATCAGGCGGCACCGTAAGGGGCGGCATAAGCAGCGAAAGAAAAATCAATTTGAGCATTTAAGGTGCGACATTTTGAAAATTACATCATATTGATGAAGTCTACCGCAAGGCACTATTCAGACGTGTTTGGCTGAAGGCACATCTAATGCAGCTTATATGTAAACCATAACATGAAATACTAATTAATATAAAGTATGTATTTATGAGGTGAATGATGTCCGGTCCTTACCAAATTATTAGGGTACCTTCCAGTGACGGAATATCTATCCATAATAAAGTTGCCCCCTAGCTGTTCTGGCTTGGCGCACTTTGTAGTGTTTTGATCATGCTCAGCGCCGAAGAGGTGACCTGGTATAGAGGTACACAACAGCAAACATGGTTTGGCATATTTACAAACATTCCTCAGTAGAACAAGAACCACATATATGTATATGGGTGTATACAAAATTCACATGCACACCTGTGTATGTACGGGTATTTGGACAGGAATATATACTATTAACATCAATTTCCATTTCTAACGTTAAGCGCGGTGGGGAAGGACCGTCTGCGATCAACTGCTTGATGGGCTGCAAAAGATACTGCCATTCTCTGCCGATGTAGAAGCTCTTTAAGGTTATCAATCCATGTTCTCCTCGGGCGACCGCTAGTTTTCCCATCATATCGGTTGTGTGTGTGTGTGTGTGTGTGTGTGTGTGTGTGTGCGCGCGCGTGTGTGTAGCGCCTGTGGTGGTAGTTAAAGTCAACAATACTCTAGAAACTTTTTTCCCGCCAAAAAAAACTAGTGACGGAATCAGTACACGTGTAGTGAACCATTTTCTCTCTGATAAGTTATGTTACATAAGGTATTACTTCAGGTAATGAATATGAATGAAATATTTGAATGTAACGAGTACTAAGCCGAGATGCACATGGAAAATGTTGACCAAATGAAACCCGTGCGAATTGGAGAACATGAGAAAGTCGTATGTGGACGTAATTATAATGTGGGGTATCATAAGATTATATAATGCCTTAGAAAAAACAAGTGGGCAGTCTCGTTTGGGAAAATAAACTGTATGCATGTAGAGTGGAGAAGTATTTGTATCAAAGTATGCGTCTGACGTGTCTGAAAAGATTTTAACGCCCTACCTGGCCATTGGCAAGACCAGACGGAAGCCGTCTGCCAGCGCTGATTGTGTGTGCCCGTCATGGAGAATGGTCGTTAATGTTCAATTTCTGTTGTGTAATGGACGTCTGTAATTTCCGTCTGAAGGTGAAGTTGATCCTTGTAAATTGATTTAAGTAGATAAAAGTAGACGTATGTTACCTCACCATGTACTGGCTGAAGAGACAGCGAGTGGAGAATAAAGATAATGCATTGTGTCGTTTAATGTCGTCCATTTTTCACCTGTTGAGCTGACTGTCAGTGCACAAGTGAGAAGTCTGCAAGTGACTGGAGCCGAAGTGAACATGAACAGAGTCATTGCAGAAATGGAGGCTTGTCCGAACGAAAAAAGCTGAGGAAAATTTGATTCGGACAATATATCCCTAACAAGAGGACCTGAGATTAGCTACTAACCAGATATCGGGTAGAACCATTTCCGATCACAGACAGGAAATACACGTCTGGTGATTTAGGAATATAAGGGGCTAAGATTGAAAGCGAAGTTGCGACACTCTATGTCCGATTGTTTACGGATTGGAACAGTCATTCAAGAAATGAAGACTGTTCGAACAAAAGAATCCAGAGGCTACGAAAACTTGTAGGAAAAACGTCAACCATCCAAGCTCTTTAGGCCATTTAACAACAGAAACGCAACAGAGCAGTTGTAGATTGTGATAGTGTGAGAGCTGTCATCTATGGTGGCATAGATATACAAGTGTAAGTCTACGCACAGATGAACGTAAGACTAGGGCTATCCCTCTACAGCAATTCTGAGGCAATGTTGATTGTACTAAAAGTGTTGCCGACAACAGTATAGTGAAGTGCAGTGGGCTATTTACACCAAGCAACACAGAAAATTGTTGACACCAGATCCCTTCATTATGATCTGTTTTCAAAATTTCAATATCTAGCAACGATAACTACACCGGGTAGAGTGTTGAACCGAAGCATAGAGGACATTGCAATTTAAAAGCTCTATCACTATGTAATAATGTCACAACTCAACGTCAATAAACGTGTCAAAAAATTTGGTAGAATCTTCCTACACTACGAAAAAGCCTTGCGGCACCTCAAGAACTATTGAATATTCATTGATACCTCAAGATCATTGAATACTCATTGATACCTCAAGATGACTGAATACTCATTGTAACCTCCAAATCATCAAATAATGATCGACACCTCAAGTTCATCGAATACCAATTGTTCCATAATACACAAGAATGCAATAATAATAACGCATTCCAACTGTTAAACACAATCAAGTAACAGGAAGAAGAAAAACATCAAATATATGTACAAGTAAACAGTAAAATAGCAGTATAATATCCGAAGTGCACAACAGTGAACACAAAGTGCATTCACTTAAAAACCAACCAAAGACTGAGTGCAGTGAAGATTAGCATGTGTGTATAATATCTTGAACATTACCCTGCTGTGTACAGTCACTAAGTGCCGTGAACATTATACAATTCATGCAAACTAACATAATTTTTTTTATAGATATTCTCTGTTTAGTAACACTAACAATCCAGCATACCAAAGTAGACCCTACATCAGGACAACTGTCAAGTCAAGAAGGCAACAAGGTCATTGCAGAAGCAACAGCATACCAAAGTAGACCCTACATCATGACAACTGTCAAGTCAAGAAGGCAACAAGGTCATTGCAGAAGCAACAGCATACCAAAGTATATCCGGACAAATATCAAGAAGGCAACATGATCAAGAACAGAATCAACTACTAAAAAAATATTAGTGATTATATTTTCTGAACAAGTGCAAGAATTTAAAACAAGTGCAAGAATTTAAATACTTGGGAAGTATCTTTACATCCAATGGTAAAATAGACAGAGAGATCGAAGCAAGAATCCAACAAGCCAACAATGTCGCATACCAGCTTGCTCCAATTTTAAAACACCCTGCTGTCCCAGCTGAGATAAAAAGACAAATTATAAATACAATCTTTATACCGACATTAGGTTATCAATGTCAGACTTGGACATTACCAAAAGAACACGAGAGAAGACTAACCACCTGTGAAATGAGATGTTTAAGAATGGCTGCGAATAAAACCAGAAGAGATCGAGTGAGAAACGATGTGATTACAAGAGCTATTGGAACCATACCCATCGTTAAATTTATTGAGAAGCAAAGAATGAAATGGTTTGGTCACCTAATGAGAATGGAACCAACGATGCCAGCATCAAGAGCATACAACATGAAAATCGAAACACAAAGAGGCAGGGGAAGACCAAGAAAAACATGGATTGAAGGAGTCACGGACAACTTGAGACTTCATACCATCACGGCATATGAAGCGACTGAGCGCGCCCTGGCTCGGTTGCCTATCATCTGATAGACTGCGACGCCCAGCGGCACAAGCAGATTTTGACAAAAAGAAAAAGAAAATTTTTCTGAAATATGTTCTGGTTCTTATATATTAATTTAATTATTAACGTCAATATAACATTATTCCTAATTTATAATTAGTCAAATTACAGCATTTGTTGGCATTTAATACAATTATTAATAATATTGTTATATTAGTACATTTATTATTATTGTTCAATAGCTTACTATTGTTAACATTATTTATTTCATAAAAGCTACAAACTAAAAAAAAAAATATTTTTGTTGATTAGATTACTTCAAGAAAGTGTGGTATTATCATAGTGCACTAGAGTTGAATACCATCATTATCCTTTAGACCCATAATTATTCATACTTGCATAGTACTACCAAAATATTACTTAAATCACTAACATCAAGTGCCTGAAATATTTGAAATTAAGTTTTTTGAACTGTATGTTTTGCAACTTGAATTCATATACATTGTAACTGATTTTTTGTTTCATTGAAATCTATTGTTGTGAACATACTGAGTATAATCAAAGATATAAATGAACACAATTTAATTAGGAAAAAAAAAAGGTGATTAGTCTATTTAAACTGTGAATTACTATCACTCCCCACATATTTAGAAACAGTGATACTACAAATACTGTTGATAATTTAATTTAAAATATTACCATGTCATTGAAAATGGTTTTTTTATTTTCTAAAGACTAATTGTATATTGAGGTTATTTAAATAATTGTTTGCATTTAATTATTTTATTGTCTTATTATTCTGCGATAACCGACTATTGACGCTGAAGTGAATCAGAATTAAAATACTGATTATCAATTTTTTTTTAAACAATTGAATTATTTTGAATTTTATTATCATCAAAAGACTGTCACATTACTTATTTTCTATACGTAGTCATTAGAAAGAAGAAAAAACATTCTTCTCTTGTTGTGTATCCTTAAGACTAATTGAAATTTACATTTTTTTTTTGGGTAAGGTATTGTCATCGTCTGGAACTTTGTAATCAACTATTGATTTCTTAGATTGATTAATGCAAATCATTTAACTATTGATTAACATTTATATATCAACTCCACTAATTATATTATTATAAAATATTTTTGACAATCAACTATATAGATTTCAGTTTCTATATCAGTCTACTACATCTAGATATTCTTGATCAATAGTCTTCATCAAATATTATATTCCATTTCTGGCTGTCAACCGAAATTCTTAAGTGTGCCTAACTGGATAAGCCTTCCACTACCAAACGTATACTTTACCATTAAACAAATCTATCTTTCTTCTTGAACGACAACTGTGTATATATAAATATATTTTTTTATAATATTTTTTTTTTTTGTTAAACAAAATTTACGTCTACTTATATTACAAGGTATACAATTGATAGCAAAAAAGACATTTTGGTTGGTGATTTATCAATTAAGCTATTAATTAATTGTTATAAACTTACATCGGTATTTAAGGGTGTGTAATTTAAAAGTAAGGAATTGTAACTTTGCTGTTGTTTGCATTATAAAGACATAAAATGTCTCAATAATCAAGTTGGATGAAGACCTGAATTTGAAAGGTACAGAACTTTAAAAATGTGATCAACAAAAGAAAGAATGGGATGAGAACAAAAATGCAAGATCAAGCCAGAGAGGAAACAATATTACTCAGACAGCATGAAATATAAATGAAAAGACAAGAAAATGAATTGAATACTAAACGATTTTAACAAGAAAAGGAAATGAAAAATAAAGAAATTAAACCAAAAAAATTAAAAAAGAAAAACAGTTAGAACAGGAAAGAATATTAAAATAGCAGGAAATACAGTTTGAATG